TTGACAGCTTTAAGACTTGCATGCTTCAATGCCAGAGTTTCTGAATAGCTACTTGGACTGACCTAAGTACTAATTCATAGTTTCATATTCAGTCACATGGGCAGCAAGCCACTCCCACAAAGGAGGTCACACCCGCAGAGTAGGTTCCAACAATTTTTGAAACCCACCACTGCAATGTTCCCTCTAAATAGTTGCTCCAGGAAGCTAGAGCCACCTGAAGTCCTCAACCCAGTCACTTTGCTGCCCTGCTGCACCTGAACACTCCTGTTTAGCTGGCAGGGGTTTCAATCGCGATTGTGCGGCCGCTCTGCAGACTGCAGTCCGTGTCTGGCAAATGACATTGTGCGACAGTTGGAAACTGCTGCGCGGTGTTTACTTTCCATGTGCGCAGCCGTGCAGCTTAGAGGGAACATTGGTCACACCATCACCTTTTGCAATCTTCCGACAAGCAAAGTCAATGGGAGAAACCAGTTTCACTTAGCAACCAGGTTATTAATTTAACAACTGCAGTGATTCAGTTAACAAATGTGACAGGAAAAGTAATAAAATGGGGCGAAAGTCACTTAACAATTTTCTCATTTAGCAACATAAATTTTGGGCTTAATTATGGTCATAAGTCGAGGACTACCTGTAGGTGCCAGTGACTGAACATGGCTCCTACTGTATACAAAACAAATCAAACACTTCTCAGCTATCGCTCCCCACCTTTTAATTTTTTGGGAGGTGGGGAACATGCCTTTATGTGGGTAAGTGAGTGGGATGTACACTTGAAAGTGTATAAAAGAAGGAATTATGTGAAAAAGGTTATGTCTGAGCTGCAAAGAGAAGAAAACAAAAAAGGAAGAACATACATTTACTGTTCCAATACTTCTAAACCCGGAAACACAGGTTTAGGATCCACCTGTTTAAATCTGAGCAAAATCTACATTGAAGCAGAAAATACATAGTACATTGTGCTGTTTTCTGTTGAAAGGGAGATGGTTTCTGTTAATATGAACTTGATTGCTTTCAATCTACACAGAATTTTGTGAAATCAACAGCAGCTGAAATTGCAGTTCTTGCTAGCTACCTCCTAATTGCTTTTCAAAATGTAAGATAAATCTTTTATGTCTTGCTTAGCTATTGTTCCTTTGTCTTGGACAAACTTAAATCCATGCCTTCGGATAAGAAGAGTTACGATCACAAAGCACGTTGCCTCTGGTTTTTTGACTGTCTTGTCAAGCTGATCTCACAAAAGGTTGTTAAGAAGAAACGTAAGGATCTTTTCCCTCTCTGATACCAAGTATATTTTTTATTATTTATTTGACTTATATACTGGGTGTCCTCCAGAAGCTCAGTTGTACAGGGTTCCTCTTCCTGTTTCTCTCTACAACAAATTTGTGAGGTAGAATGGACAGAAAGAGAGGAATTGCCCCCAAATCAGCCATTAGTCTTCCCTAGCTGAAAAGGATTTGAACCAGGATTTCCAGTCCTAGTCCAAAACCTTAACTACTGCACCACCTTGGCTAATTAGAGTGCCTAATCCTTAAATTAAACGAGAAAAGGGAAGTGCTTAGGTGGTTATTTTTGCCTTCCATATGTACTGACGTCCGATTCCTAGAAATTTCAGTTAGCTGGAAATGGAGGCCAGATCACCTCAGGCACTCCAAATGGAGAAAGACTAATGTAATTTGATTTGTATAATTTTCAGGCAGTTTAATACATTTTCTAGGTGTATTAAACACATCTGCAACCTTGGCAATTAAACACATCTCCAACCTTGGTAACTTTTAATCTTGGCAGACTTCAACTCCCAGAATTCCCCAGCCATGTTTGAATTCTGGGAGTTGAAGTCTTCCAAGCTTAAAGTTGCCAAGGTTGGACACCCCTGTTCTAGATTTCTTTAAAATGTATAGGTAGTGCATCCTTTAATTGTGAAGAGGGCAATGGATTGAGTTCTCTTCCCCCTCTTGATCCTACTGAACTCCATTCTGCTCTTCTGCAATCATACCAACGTGCTGTAATCTCAGCTATGTTTGGTAGTTTGTTGTTTTTAAAATGAAATTTGATATTAGGATTTTGTATTCTGTATGTTTTCTGTGTCCAGTGTTCGCTTTGTTTACAATGTCTCGACTTTGTAGAATGCAGACTCCTCTGGTCATTCTGATTCTTATTTAGATTGGAGATTAGGAGGATTTTAGAACACTAACTTTTTTTATTTCCATTTGTAGATGCCATGGGCCCCACTTGTCCAGATATCATCAGCAACAAGCTTGTGAAAACTTTCACAGCACTGTCTTATGGCAATGGCAGGTAAAAAAAACCCCAGCCCTTTGATTTCAAGGCTAGTAAAATAGATTGGTTTATTATTCTTAGGAGACTTATTAAATCATACAGCATTGCCTAAAAGAGGATCAGAAGTAGCATATAAAAAATTCTTGAAATCAATAGAAAGTAGATGTGTTTCTTTATTTCAAATATATTTCATACAGGAGGATCATGCCAAGAAACTGCTCAGAAATCCTTTGTAGTTGCAATTAACTGAAACGTACAGATGTTTGTTCTTTTAAAAAGAGAGAATATAAGGAAACAATGAGAATAAAAAACAATTTATATAATATTTTGCTATTTTTCTTTTTTTTTGTCTAATGTGTTTTTAATAATACTGTGGAAGGGAGACCTTTTAACATTAAAGCACTATATTAGGGAACATTATTCAGGAGTGCCATCTCCCAGCTCTGTGCACTGTCAAGGTTCAGGATTAAGATTATGTCTGTTTTTACTAAGCAACTTCCTCTCCCATTTTAAGAAAAAAAAGGTTTTATAAAATGATAAGCAATAAATGTCTTATTCCCTTTCAAGCTGCCTTATTTTTGTTGACAAAAATAGTTTTGTGCTGTTTTAAATTGGGCTTTTCTGGGTGGATTGTTAAAGAGTTGTGGAATGTGTAAATGATCATTGTTAGGCAAAAAATCATGATTGTTAGGCATGAAGATTTTGTGCAGAACATTAAAGCTCCATTCTGTAACTATTGGAAATCTTCCTGGGACCCAGTTTGGTGAAGAGGTTAAAGGCAGCAGGCTAGAAATGAGATCATGTGGCTCTGGTCATGACTTGGACACAAAAGTAGCTGAGTGACTTTGGGCCAGTCACTCTCTTTCAGCTCTAAGACATAAGCAATAGCAAACCACTTCCCAGATGTAGCCAAGGAAACTGCAGGGACTGACTGGTCCAGCCATTTTCTAAGAGTCAACACTGATGTGAAGGAACATGCTGTATATTTTGTATGACTCCCATATTACATTTTACTTGTCCATGCAAAGTCCACATCTATAGGTAATCCACTTATAGATTGCAATTAAAGAATAATAATATGAAATGAAGCATCTAAAACAGAGATGCTTGCATTATACAGACTGTTGAATTTGTATTCTGCTGGGACAAAATACTGTGTGGAATATAGGAAACCGTCGACTCTTTATTTTGCTGCTTTGTAGGAGGATGTGGAAAGAATATGTAGCAGCAAAGTTGCATAGTTTTTGTATCATGGTTTTCTTATCCTTTTTTTCCTCTCATTTTGTATTTCAGGATACAAAATCTAATTTCAGCTTCAATGAAAGTTAAGATAACAGCATATGCGATAGCCCTGGCATTGCATATTGACCGTTTTCAAACGAATCTGACAGTCTTGCAGCGAGATCTGAAACTACGTGAAAACAAGTATGATTAACAGCACAATTGTATTTTTTTAATCAATTTTCTTACTAATGGGCTAAGAACTTCAGGGGCTCCACTGGCTTTTGAGGTGTGTCTAGGCTCCCCGGTTATTTTGGAACTAGCCTTCCAAATGTTCTAGACTACAATGCCTATATCTTCCATTCAATAGGTTCTGCAGTCATTTGTCTGGGGATTATAGGGGTTGTAATTAACATTCCTAGGAATCTGGCTGACATTTCTCCCTTAAAAGGGAAAACAGCCTCCCCCCCCCCAAAATCCTTAGGAACAGTGAGAAAATTAATGGATTTTTTTTCAAGAACACCCTGATGGTTAAGTTCAACAAATGAACGTCTAAAATAGTTCCTTGGTCTTGTACAGTATGTATTGTTTCTGGAACACCAGAGTAGACAGATTACAAGGCTAAGAATAGGAGAGGCCAAAACAGCTGGTTCATTTCAGTATCTACCATGGGGCACATTAAGTGTGATTATAAATTGAACTAGAGGAGACAAACAAGAGCTATGCAGGACAGATAGCAAGTATAGACCCTAACTAAGGTATCCCTTAGTACAAATTCTGTTTTCTCCTACCTGAGGGGGTAACATTCATTCCTGGAAGAAAAATAAAATAATACTCTGATACAGTGTATATTCCACCTTTAGTCATATAACTGTTAGAAAGTAATCCTTGGAAGTTCTGACTGCAACACATTTTATTTTCGTAAGATCAGTGTGCTACGTTTTTCCTATGAACCAATATTGCATGGTAGGAAAAGGGGCCCCTTTCTTCTGATACTGGATAACCAGCCTGTCCCAGCTGGTTATCCAGCATCAGCACCCAAAGTCTCAGTAATGAAGTATCCATTGAAACTTCCCTTTAAAGCCACGTCAAATCCCAGATCCCATCTTTAACATCAACAAAGCACATAAATAGCTAGGAAAGATAATCAAGAATGCTAATTGGTAATATGTGCCTATAGAGATAATTAAAGAGGGCTGCTATTGGTCTCACACATTAAGTTCCAATTAAGATGACTTATTGCTCATGCCTAGAGTTTACACAAGAATCTAGTCAATTAACAATCAACACTAAATTAGCACTAAATTGAGTCAAAGGAAATCGAAAGGGGCTGGACTTAAGACCGTTACGGGAGTGTAATGACGCCAGACTGATCATTCTCTTGACTCCATCCCTCCCTACAACTGCTGAACGCATGCAGATTACATTCCTATCGCCATATTGCCATACAGGTAGTCTTTGTTTAGTGACTGCCTTGTTTAAGGACCATTTGCAGTTGCAATGCAGTCACGTTTCAGCCAATTATTGCATTTACAACTTTTGGGCGGTTGTTAAGCAAAGGAAAGCTGATGTAACATCATTAGTTGCTGTTTCACTTGGCGACCACTTTGCCTAATGACTGAGTTGCTGGTTCCAATTGTGATCACTAAACGAAGTCTACCTATACCTCTTCACATCTGACAGACAGAACTCCCTTGCCAATAACTTCCCCTCACATCTGACTGCATCCTACTTTACGCTCATCCCTTTTAGTGTTTGTAATTGAGTGATATGGCCTTTATGACCTGCTAGTTGGTTATTGAACTGACTGTCATAAAGTAAATGCTTCCAGTAAGTCCTTGGCAGAGT